GATGGCCATTCAGATGAAAATTCTTGATGATCTCTCCCAATGTTAAAAAGTATTGGAAATGCAATGGAGCCTTGAGAGATTCCATATAAGTGCCACCATTATGAAGAGCAACTGGCACCAAGCGGCACAACATGAGAGCTCCATGAAAGAAGATAATGGAACCATTGCAATGTACTGTATTCCCACTTCTCACAAGTGATCCAGAAAACTATGATGGCCAAGTTTATTGAAAGTTACTAAGGAATCCAAGACAACCAAGACAGTCACACTGTCTCTCTATCAGTGTCATTTGTTGAAGGTCATCTATTCTATGAGGTCAGAGAATGTCTTCTCAGTCTCCTAGCCCTACTGTAAAACTGGTCTGAAGTAAGTCTTAGTGTTTCTAAACCATGGCAAGTTTAAGATGTGTGGACTTCTACTTCCAGAATTCCCCAGTTAGGGGAATTCTGCAAGTCAAAGTTTACACATTTTAAAGTCACCAAGACTGAGAAACGCCAGTCTAGATATTTCCTGCAAGAACTCTTGAAGTTGATTAGCCATTATCTTCCCTAACCCCTTTCCCTCTTCAGATCAGAGGTGGGTTCATCCTGGTTTGGCTGAACCGGTAGTGGATTCAGGCCTGGGTTGCACAACCGGCAGCGACCCAGGTCTGCCACACCCCCGAACCAGTTACCTCGCTGCCGCTGGGCCATTGCTATTTTGGTTTTTAATGATTGCATATGTGCAGTTCACCACAAATTGTTCTACACATGGGCAAAGAACAATTTACATTGAACAGCGCACGCTCATGTGCAGGTTGCAAACCGGTAGAAAAACCAGCAGCAACCCACCCCTGCTTCAGATATGTATAACCATTATTTCCTTTAAACCAGGAAATACCCTCCTCTCTCTGTGATGCATTACTGTTGTCTTCTAAGTCAATTCTCACAACTCCTTACACAACAAGGTCACCCTTATCCGGCATGGATCTAAAGAATGAGTGGCAAGCTAATCCACCCCAAGTGATGCCATATCCTCAGGAATAACATGCTGAACATAATCCAATGTATGAGAATCATTGGACCCTCTCTTAGCTGACTCTGCGAAAATACTTGTCAACTCACGTGCAAAAGATTTTATCAGAAAACAGCTAATTTGAAAATCACATTATGACACTGTTTCTGGGAGCCAAGGAGCTTGAATGAAACTGTTAATTTTCTAGCAAGGCTCTGCTAGAAGCAAATCTGTTGATCAATACGGGCATAATAAACTTGAAGTCCCAAGGCTGCATTTAGCCTCCTATAAAAACTGACGTTTGTCCCTCAAGTCACCTCTAATCATAACTGCTGAGAATTGGAGCAGTTCCCACCCCTTCCAAATCGTTAAACAAAGGGTCATCTATCCTTCCAATATGGCTTCCAAAGTCATAATAAGAGTTTGGTGACATCATACAACCTAGAGAAATAGGAATTAAGAAATAAGAATTTCTTACAGAGAAATTCTTCCTTTCCACCAGGCCAACCAGTAAGTGATGCGTTGCTGAAATTGCACATTGTTTAAACACCACTGTTCATTCTTTACTTTTCCTTTTTCTTGTGTGTGCTGGGATCCTGAAGTTCCAGTCTGCACATCATGAGAAATCTTTATTGTAGGGATGGAGAGTTTTTCCCAATTCTTCCAAAAATCATGGTTCAGGAGAACATAAATATTTTTGTTTCATTCGCCTTTAGGTTTTATTTTAAATTTACAGAGTTAACATAATCACCTTAGAGTTACGTTTTACATTCTCCTACATATTAAAGGTATCATTAATAGGTAGGAGCATGTACATCCAAGGAATTTGTATGCTGCGTATGGCTCTAATACTTCAGGTCATATAAATCTGTTTTATGCTACAAATAAGATTTAAATACTCTTGCTTTATCATCTATATATCTTTGGGGGAGGGTTTTTTTCCCCTTTGTAGGGGAAAAATGCTTTAATAAAAAAATATATCTGTTCCTTTCCAAGCTCTGGGATATCTTATCTGTTTGGGCAGGAGGGTGTGGGGGTATTTTAAAAAACTAAACAAAGTTAGACCACATTAGCAATGTCAAGACACCATTAGGAAATCAAAGGCTGTAGGCAGATCAGGAACTTGACAAAAATATCTTGGAGGAAAGCAAGGGCAACCATTTTTTAAAACAGCTGCCAGGAAAACTTCATGAACATGTCCACTTTACTAAATTACTAAGAGTTGAGTTTGACTAGAAGGATTCGTAATTCTTTTCTACCAAGTTAAAATTGTAACTGGGTAACAAGTAAAGATACCTAAAGGCTATCCCCAAACTTCAGGGGGGCTGCATATGGCTTCCAAAACTTTAGATTGCATACTTCGGCTCTAAAGCATACTCTTTCCTCTTAACAGGTGCGTCTTGAGTATTTTTCTTAGGGAAACAGTGTTCCAGTGCCTTTTCTATGCCCTGCAAAAGGCCACATGTCTCAAAATGCCAGAAGCATGTTTAATATTGGGAGAAAGTGTATCCTCCATTTATGTCAAGCCTTTGGTGCTCAGAGGCACTCTGCTTTGCAGCACAGTTTCAGCTGAAACAGACCGGCCTCCTGACCTTACCGCGGGACGTGTGAAATAGCCAAAGTTTTTCACAGTTTGTCTTTGCATGGCAGGAACATGTGGGAAGCGTATGCCAGGATCACAAGGCAAGCACATGCTGAGCAGCCGAGAGCAATGACACATCCATGCACCCAAGAAGCAGATGTGCTCCCACAAAGGGAGACAGCAGCAACATCCATCAGCTGATCTGCAGCACCTGTATTATGTGCTAGTAACATGCACAGACTGCAAATGTGGACGTTAAACTGGAGCACATGGTCATTATGGATTCATGAAGTTGGGCACAGTACAATTTTGCTTCTAAATGTGCATTTCCGCTTTGCCTTGTTTTCTTTCCCCTCCCAAAAGGACTAGGGAACTGGAATCAAAAGCTTTTGGGATCCAACACTGAGCCCAAAGCAACCATGTTAACAGAGGTTTACATAGAAGACTAATTCATCCATCTGACCCAGGCCATGAACCAGAGAGCAAGCTCCTCCTAATAACTCCCGTAACTGAGTTAAGCTGCATGCAGTTGAAACTCTTCCCAATGTTCATATCCCAAGTGTACCTGATGGGATGTTACAATGGTGCCAAACTGACACTCCCACTGCCTGATCTTTGCCAAACCACCAAATGTTCAGCCATTCTCAAAAAGATGCACAAGAAAATGAGGAGGGGGGAAGGGATTAGGAAGAAACACACAAGAGGCACTTGTGGTATACACACCACAGAAGGAAGGACATACTGGGGGTAACCGGAAGAGCCCCACTAGCATTTTAGTAATTTAGCCATAGCACCTGTAGTGTGAAAAAACAGGGGAAGGAAGTGGACACCCAGCCCAGTGTTGTTGTTTTTTAACCTCGGAAACTTTAAGATGTGTGGGCTTCAACCTGTCTGGCTGAGGAATTCTGGGGACTGAAGTCCACACATCTTGGAAGTTCCCAGAGGTTGAAAAACATTGGCCTAGTTAGCACAAGAACCTGCTCCATTCCCACCAGCTGTCCTAACTCCGCAGCCAAGCATTTTTCTAAAGATCCTTAAGGTACTTTCCCTCCCTTTGCTTGATTTAATGTACCCTCCTCTTCAAGTGACCTGCTTGCTGAGTGTTGAATTCCTCCTTGGTTGGCCCAAGCTCTCTCCTCCCCCCCCCCTCTGGTTTCAGCATCTCCTTGATGGCTAAGTATGCTTTTCCTAACACTCCAACAGAAGCCACAATTTTGTCGTGTTCCCCCCGCCCCCCAGCCCCAAAAAATCCATTTTGGGAGAGTTTAAGGGGGGGGGGGGAAGCAACAGCAGAAGAAAATGACAGCGAGAGTTTTCTTGTGGTGGCATTTCGAGTCACTGTCACGGGATCGTCCGCTGCCTTCCTTCCTCCCCCCCCCCCCCAATCCCCGCGTCCGCGATCGCAGTTGTCTCCCCCCAGCCCTCCCCACTCGTAATCTTCCAAGATCAGGGTGGGACTACTGAATGGAATATTTCCCCTTCTCTACAGCCAGCCGGCCCCCCCACGGATTTCAAGGATTTAGGATCCGTCACCAGAGACATTGCACAGTGGGGGAAGAGTGTCCTTGGCGTGCTCATCACTGCAAGGGAAGGGATTTCCGGGGGTTTTTTTTTGGGGGGGGGGGGAAGGAGAGAGAGAAAAGGTGTTGAGAAAGAAAAGGGACCCTTTCACCTGA